GGGAGGCAGAGGCAGGCGGATCTCTGTGAGTTCGAGGCCAGCCTAGGCTACCAAGTGAGTTCCAGGAAAAGGCACAAAGCTACACCCTGTCTCGAAAAACCAAAAAAAAAAAAAAAAAAAAAAAAAGAAGGTTGAGAATGCTCTAAAAGCTGGGATAAGTAGGAAAATGGATTCTATCTTATAGTTCATGGAAAGGAAATGTTTTGCCAAAGGCTTGAGTTTAACCCTTGTGAGGCCCAGTTAGGGCTTTGGACCGCCTCTTCTATAAACAAATGAATTTGTGTTGGTTCTGCTACTATATTTGTGGAAAGATATCATAGCCGCAATATTAAATCAATACACTCTTAAAAGTCTTAAATGCAAACGCATTGATAACACAATTAATAACACATCCTACTCGTGTTTTTTTTTTTTTTTAAATATGCTACTTAAGTTTGACCTTTAACAAGTTGTACCAAATAGGAAGAGGAGCAGATTCTCAAGTGTAATTCTTCCTGTGCCTTGTGCACTATTCTGGATGTTGGCTTTATTGGCTCATCTCAACCTTTCCAGGACATCCGGAGGTAGGCTCACAACGACAGTACCTCACCAACACTTACCAGGGAAGAAGACTCAGGCACGGAGAAGTTGTGCAACTCGCCCAGGCTCACGAAGCTGGGAAGCTGGCAACGGGCATCGGACTTGATCTGCCTCTGGAGGTGAGGACGCGCTTTGATGCTTCTCTGAAATGTTAGTGGCCAAAGACAAAGAGCAGACATAGATCTTGTCTTTTACCCAAGAGTCGAAGTGTGTGTGGAGGCACACTTTTTTCTAGTTCATAGATTTTTCCTTTGTGATATTTTTAGCATTTCCTGTAAGCTTGACACGCTGCTGTTTTCACTCTTCCCTTCCCTTAGTGCCGAGGCGGTTTTCACATGAGAATCACCAAAAAGCTCATGATTAGCAGACATCAGTTGTTAAACAGTTGGTTGTGTCTGGGCTTTGGTTTTTGGGTTTTCTGTTTGTTTTTCTCTCTCCAGTTCAGCTGTTTGGGTCCCTCCTTGCCTCTTACTTATTTCAGACAAGTGCAGGGGCTACCTGTGTGGTTACCG